GCTCCCTGAAACCATTTCCCCTCTCAGGCACGGCCCCCCCAGGACCTTTGGCCACACAGGCCCTGGCCTCGCCTCCAAGGCCAGTCGGAACCCCAGGCCCTCAGCTCTGGGTGTCCCTCGCAGTGGGCCCCTGGCCCTTTTGACCGTTCTGGTCCTGGCCCCAGCATTCACCAGTCGAGGGTACTCTATGTCAGGCCTCTGCCACTCCAGCCCCATTCTCACTCCTGGGGTCTGCCTTCTGGCCCTACTAGCGGTTGACCCACCCGGTTGTGGCAGCTGGGGTGACTCACACCATGACTGGTGTTTCAGGGTCTGAAGGGGACTCTCACTCCCCCCCGGAGCAGCATGTCATTGTGCCCTCTCTATATAAACATATTGGGCTCTCAGCCCTCTGGTTTTCCTCCCCCTTCATTGGGGTTCCTCATCTCTGCCCCCTCCCTTGGGGCTGCACACCACCTCCTCACTTGGGGCCACAGGGCTTCTCTCCCTGGTGGGCTCAGGTGGGCGTAGCCACGCCTGGCCCTACTACCTTTCCTCAGAGTCTTACACCCCACACAGGGCTCAGGTGGCTGCAGCCGTGCCTGGCCCCAACTCTCCCTCCTTGGGGTTTGCACCCCACACAGGACTCAGGTGGCTGCAGCCGTGCCTGGCCCCCAACTACCTCTGGTGTTACGCAAGCCCACCCAGAGGTGAGGGCTAGGACTAAGGCACCCCTACCCGCCTTTCACCGGGGTGATAACTGGCCTAGCATTTCCTGGGGGCTCCCACGCCACTGAGAGCCCCACCAGGCCACCCGCTCCCTGCACTGTGCAGTTTTAGGTCATGCCCAGGACCAGGAACCTCCAATTCATGCCCTACAGCTCCTGCCCTTACCTCTAGGATGATATGTAAAGCCTTGCAGCCAGGTGATGTTGCTGCAAAATGCTCTGCTTATATAGGCAGCCATGAATCTAAAATGGCTGCTGCAATCAGGTGCTTGCTGGCTGCTTGGCTTAGGTCTTAAAGTGGCAGGCACCAACAGTGCTCTGCCATACACCTTCCCCCTGGTACCTGGGGGAGGTTTCCCCTGCTGCTCCTCCAAAGCAGGCTCCCCTCGGAGCCTGTGAGAGCTCTCAAGTGGTGAGCCCCCCCAAAGGTGCTCCACCACACACCTCCCCCTTAGAATGAGATCTGGGGGGCTTCACTTGTCTGCCTTCCCTGCTGGGCTCTGTCCCAGCCTACTGTAGCCCCTGCCACGTGGCAAGCACCCCAAAGGTGCTCCACCACACTGTGCTAAATATATTTGAGCAACTTTATTTCCATTAATGACGTTTTTATTTTAATGGCATGGGAATTTCCTTGTGCATTTTTCTTCAGAAAAGGAGGGAAACAGGGAGAGTTTTAGGAGGATGATAGAAAGAGTGTGTCTATGTGGGTGAGAAGGGAATTTATGCTGCATTTCTGGGAGAAATGAGACCTAGTAGGAGCTCCCTTTCCACTATAAGTCTCCTGTGATTTAGCAAAATGGAGCACCATTCTGTCCAACCACAGGAAGTTCACCAGAGCTCAGCTTCTCCTTCACCTGCTTATCCAATCAGAAGAAGCCTGCAGGGTAATAGAAGAGCATGGCAGATGTCATGGATCTGTCTCTGGGGGTAAAGTGAGAGGAATGCTAGGAGAAGAGAAAGTGGGATTGAAGAAAGTAACTCTCTGGAAAGTTTTTTGTGGAGCAATAGGGTTTCTTTGAAGGGTATGAGTGAGTGGGTGCCTTTTGCCCGCCCTTTTGTGTTAGAATTACCTTGATCTCTGACTTGTCCTCCTCACTCTTCTGCCACACCTTAATATTGTAAGACTATTTGAGAGGAGGATGATTCTCTGCACAGAGGTCCGTCCAGAAGGGCCACAATGTTCCACATGGCTCCACCTGCCCTACACCCTACCCCTTTCCTTCCAGGTGGTTATTTGCTATTCTCTGCTGGTCTGGTGTGTGAGATGCCTGTGGGGTCTCTGCCCAAACTCTGCTGGGTTATTTTCTCTGAGGTTCTTCGGCCTGGGTTTCCCCTGGTTGATCTCGTCATTGGCTGTACTCATCAGATCACACTACCCTCATCCTTTCTCTTTCTCTCCTTCTTGGTTGTCATCCCCACTCCTTCTTCCTGAGGATTCTACATTCCTGGGATAATCCAAGCTTGTCCTGTTCTACGCTTCTCTGTCCCTTCCATTCTTATTTCAGCCTCTGTAAACTAAAGCTTCTTTAAAGCCCCAGGTGTAGGAAATAAATCCTAATTAAACATAGATCAAACAAAAAGGGGGGGATCCTTCCTCCCAATGGGCCTTCTTTTCCCTTAGGGACCTCAATCCAAAAGGGAGGTATCTTTTTCCCGGCCTATATTATCCCTCGTTTCCAGAATTCAAACAAATCCCCCTCAAAAAGGCCTTATCACAGTTGTTCCCCTACATGAGTTCAGGTTCTGCTAGGTTGTCCCCATCCAGGGTTATGCCCTGCTTTTCTTTTTTTTTCCCCTCCAGGAGGCCAGGCAAATCTCCTCTTTGTCTCGGCCAACTCAGTTTCTCCCAGTCCCCACTACCCTCATTGGAACCGTCCTTTCTTCTTCCAGGTCCATGTCTGTCTGCCAGAACCTGATCTTCTCTCCCCTGACACTAGTTCCTGGGTTCACAGGGAAGACCCCTGTTAACCTGTTGTCTGCTGCTGGTTAACTCTCCGGACACACTGGGGTGCTTCTGACTCAGGGTTTGCTGGGGTTGCAGCACTCCATGAAAGTTCAGTCAGAGAGGGTCCTCAGCTTCGCTGATCTTCCTTGGTCCAGTTGCCTGGTCCCTGCTCCAGGAGACACCAAATGCTGAGCCTTCTTCAGCATCTCCCTTTAAACTGCCTGGTCTTCTCTCCAAGCCAATCAGAGCTGGCTCTCTGGGGCACATGTTTTTTGGTCCAGGTACCTGCCTAATTCCTTGGACTTCCCTGGACCTTGGTGTCTGGCATGCCAGGGATGCACTGCTTGTTCAGATTCATCCCAGTAAGTTCCCCACCAGCTTGGCTGGCTCCGTGGGGGTCTAGCAGGGGCTGGGCTTCAGGCCCTGCTACAAAGGGGAACAAAGTGAAGGGGTAAAACAGTTAGATTAAAGGACAAGTTGAAAAGATGGGTTACCAGCTAGGAGAGAGATCTTACCAGTTCTGGTATCTGGTATAGTCATCGTAGCTACTCCCTGAACACTAGAAGGTTTGCTATAGTGCACTTGCCTACTAGATGGCTTCTCCCCCATTTCTGTTGTCCTCTGATAGCCATACTGTATCCACTGTTCCATACATCTCTCAGCTGCCTCCGTTCCAATACCACAGCCATCCACCTACCCCAAATCCTATTAGCCATCTTCCTAGCTTGCTGCCAGCTTGATCTGTACAAGAGTTCCACTCAGACAAATCCACTTGTTCCTGTGAGCCAATTGGCAATGTAGCCCTTCAACTCTTCTTCTTCTCCTTGGGCTGGAAGAAACTCTTATTTCCCAACCTTACTTCCCTCCACCCCATACCAACTAGAATTGGCAGGGGTGCATGCGAGGACAACTGGCATGCATATGAGCTTAGGCCAGTGATTCACAACCTTTTTGGACTTGAGGCACCCCTCACTGGACTTGAGGTAAGCCTTCATAAGTCTTGTGAATTGAGTGGCACTCAGTTTCAAAAACGAATTTACATTACAGTGCTTGCAGAGGGACTCTGCAGATCATTCAAGCAGGGACAAGCATGAGCCTGCCATTTAGCTACTTAGCTTATCTGCTTATCTTCTTGCATCCTGTGAAACACTTCAAAAGATCTGGCAACACCTTAAGGTGCCCTGGCACCCTGGTTGAGAATCGCTGGCTTAGGCAGCTGGAGAACAAATGACTGGCAGATGTAGACAGTTCTTTTGGTTTGACTTTTCAGATCCGGGCTAAGTTCTTAGGGGATTAAAATGACCCTGTATGTGTGCTAATTGTAAAACTTAAAAATCATCTGAGCTTGTGTATCTGATATATACAGTCTCCACTCTGGAGTTTCAAACAGGACATGGTGCTGGCACTGAAGTGGCTGGTCAGCCATGGCATTCGTTTGGTAATTGCTGTAACGTATTTATGACTTTTTTTTTCAGGAATATCCCTAAAACTTAAGGGCCAGTTTTCTAATATGTACAGTGTCTATCTCTGGTACTTACTTGGCCCTTATAGCAGGCTGATTTGCAGCTTCTGGGTGAGTTGGTAGCCTTTGTTACCTGTGAAGTTAGTGAAAACTGGTATTTTTTGCACAAAACATTTCAGTTCTGACATGCAATCCTGTTTTTTTCTGAAACTTCGGACCAACTCTGTAGGGAAGTACTGTTTTGGCATGGACAGACTGAGTGACCTACTTAGGGTCCTACAGCAAGTCTGTGGCAGAGTAGAGAATTGACCCTGATCTCTGAAGGTGCAGGTTCACATGGCCCATCCCACCCCTCTGTATTATCAGGGTGTTGATACATTTTTGTTCTGGGTGGTGCTAAAAATGTACTAGGCAGTCTTGCAATGCACATTTGTACTCACAGGGAAGAAACCAGCAGAACTTCCTAGAAGTATGAACTGCCAAGGGAATATATTTTTTCCCCTTTAAAGGGAATTCTCTTTTTTTCTATTTTTCAAGAATGAGTTCAAGATTTAATCCTTTCATCCTCAGAGGGTTGCATGGAGAAATGTGTGCTAATGATTTCAAGACATAGACCAGGTGCTGAAAAAGCCTTATTGTCTTTTAACCATATTTCATCAGCTAGTACGTTTCCGAGAGTAGTATTTACTGCCTCCCATAAACTGTAAGATACATTTTATTGCCTCATAAAGTATGAATTTATTATAATAAACTACCTTCATACACTTCTGGTTTAACTCTATTCAGAAATTAAATAAACTAGATGCTAGCTTAAATGGTACTGAAATGGAATAATTCAAGTTTATAAATCATCTCTTTGATTTCTTTGTCTCTTTTATGATTGCAGAACCCCGAGGTATGGATCTTTGGCAGCTGTTATTTACATTGGCACTGATCTGTGCAAATGATTCTCTTCCTACGAGTGAGGGTGAGTTCATGATGAAATGTCTTTGTCATTAATGGTGACACACATGAGTTCTTTGGTTGCGGCAATGTGTATGCACTGAAGATTTTTCTGAAAAGGAAATTGTAGCTGTTATCTTTGTTTTGAAGGCCACAGATGAGTTTGTAACAAAATATCAAAGGGAAGCAGCAAATTAAACAGTCTAAGGCACTGGTCACCAACCAGTCAATCTCGAAACCAGGGTCAGTCATGAAGCCTCAATAGCTGATCTCAGTCTGTCAGAGGCTCCACAATCAGGAGCGGCAGGACACACGTGGCTGGGCTGAGCCATGCCCCCTGCCGCCCAGGCCGGGCTGGGTGAGTGGGGTCACAGCCTGGGCGACTTGTCCAGCAGTTGGGGGGCCAGGAGGAGGGCGCAGGGCAGTAGATCTTGGGGTGCCATTTACTTACAAAAAGTGATCTTGACCATAAAAAGGTTGAAGACCACTGGTCTAAGGGCTGTGGCACTGAATGGGTTGAGAGCTGAATCACTGTTTGCGTTACATATCTTCATGTCAAGCTATTCTACATTCAGCTAGGCTGCTTAAAATGCAGAAGCTTCCTGCGGCATGTTTGGACACTACCAGATGGATAGCAATCATCACTCAGATTGCTGGAATCAAAGAAACTCTCTTAGACCCATTTATCCTAAAATTCCTGTCTGTATCAAAAGCCTGTCTCTGGTACAGAGGTTATCAAAGAATTTTGGTCACCTCTGTACCCTCTAAAAGTTGCTGCTTGTTGTTTCCTGGTACATTCATAGTGTTAAAATGGGTACCAGTAAGAGATCTCATGGCAAAGGCTGGCATAGTATGAGCAAGTGGTACAATAAATGTCCCTCCGATGAAACTCTTTCAAACAGAGTAAAATCAGTAGGAAAGGATTTGAATAGAGGGCACAGTAAAAGGGGTGATATTGTTAGCAATCAGCCAGAGTGCTTGTGCAATCAGATGGCAGACTATACCATGGCCTCCAAGGAGGTTCTCTGGACACCGCTCACAGTCACAGTGTTTGCCTGTTTATGCAGTGGTATTATATGGTTTACCTGCCTTCTGATCTTCCGGATTTCCACAATTCTTCCTTTCCCCATCCCCATCCACTTCCAGTTACTGCACATCTTCTCAGTAATGTACATAGATTGGAGGGGAAGGAGTTGGCAAATAGCCCATTCAGGCCAGGTTTTCTCTGGGGCTTTCCTTCTGTTCATCCAGAAGCCAGTATAACAACTTTAAACAGTACTGCTGTTCCAGAGGTGTGTCCAGTCTCAAGGGCTTGGTCATTTACACCCAGTCTTGTGTTGCTTCAGAACTAAAAGTTCCCATTGAGCCAAAAATATCCAATGGGAGTTTTACCTTGTCCCTAATCTGTGTAATTCCATTTGTCTTTCTTGGGCTCCTGTGTTACCCGTTGTGATCTTTGGGGAGTTTTTCTTTTGCAGCTACAGAGTTCTTCCACAATGACTGGTTTGATCAGATGCAACTAGCATATTCCCTGCCACTCCTGACCATCCCCTGAGGCAGCTGTAGAACAGCTGTGGTAGAACCAGCTTCTCAGATAGGTACCCCCTGACCTTTTAGCCAGAAATTAAATCTTAGCAGAGAATAGTAAAATGGGTAGGGTAACAAGGTAATTTTGGAGGAAGAGGAGTGGAAATGACATCCATTGCAAACTATAAATCAATAATTACATCTTTACTGAGAGGAAAGGGTATCTCAATTTTTCAGGAGGTTTGTTTTCACTTTTTTTTCCAATGTATTTCTCTAAATCAGGAACTCAGGTCCTAATTAAATGTCAACAGAAGGGAAGTTTAAATGCAGCAGCCTTTCTTGATTTTTAGCATCTGGTTCTAAGCCAAAGGAGCATGGATGAGTTCCCCATGACATGCGTGTGCACACCTGCTGTTCTTTTCCATACTAGGTAAAGATCTAATGCGAGTTTATTTATTCTACCCATTCTAATGTGGTTCTGGCTCTTCCTGGTGTTTCATACATGGTATTCATTCATGTTGGCAGTTACAGGTGTACCCGGCCCACCCCGCACCTGCTCCAGACTCACCTGCCCGTGCTGAGCAGCAGCAGCAACTGGTTAGAAGCTGCTGCTTGGTGCAGGGAAAATGAGGCTCTTTCCTCTCACCACTGCAGGCCCTTCTTGCACGGGCTCCAGGCGGCTGCAGCAAGAAGGGCCCAGCAGCAGAGAGGGGGAGGGGCCACTTTTTCCCCTATGTCAAGCAGCAGCTTCTGCCTGGCCACCACTGGCTCTATTTTGCCAACCCTGGTTAAAATGGGCACGATTAGCACTTGTTAAAAAATGAATACATTAATTTGTTTTTGCATTAATCACACCTGTTAACTGCAATTAATTGACAGCCCTAATATGTATACATATATTTTATACACACACACGCACACACACACAATATATACTAAAAATATAGTGTGTGTATCTATATATAGATCTCTGTATCTATGGATATAGATATATATATAGACAAACAAGGTTCTTTGGGTAGATGTAATATCTTTTATTAGACCAAATAAATAGCTGGAAAAACTGTTCTTTGCAAGCTTTGGGGCATAAACACCCTTCTTCAGGCATAGGGAGAGTTTGTTGGTGTAATATGTGCTCTCCGGGGTAGAATAGAAGCCAACATGCAAAATGAAGGTCTGCAAAAATGCAAATTTGTGGCAGTGGGGATCAGAGGGAATGGGCAACAATAGGTGTGAGACAGGTAGGTGGGGAGGAATGGGGGAATGTTGAATTGGTGGTAGAATGTAATTGGTAAAATACAGACAGGTTACCGGGGGTTATTAGATGGCAGGCAAGTTATAATGCACCATAAATCCAATGTCTATATTTAGTCCATGAATTTTGTATATCCAGTAGATTTATGAAGTGAAATTCATAGGCTCATCTGTGAAAGGGGTTTTGTAAATTCCCTTTGAGGATTAGAACTGAGAGCTTGGAGAGAGAGTGGTTATCTTGTGAGAAGTGTGCACTCACAGGTAATTGGGTATTTTTGTCTTTGAATGCACACTGAAAATCTATCATTCTGGTATGCAGTTGTTGTTTGGTTTCTCCCACATATTTTCCAGGAGGGCATTTACTACACTGGATGAGGTATATTACATTTCTGGAGGTACAGGTGTTAAGTCCAGGAATGGTGATGGTTCTGTTGTGGGGTGTAGTTATTGTGGGATTAGTAGAGATGCATGTGGCAGGTTTTACATTTCTTGTCCCAGCATAGTCTAGATCCATTTGGTATGCTTTGGGTCATAGGAAGTTTGTTTCTTTCTGATGATGAGGTTGGTGAGGTTCAGTGCTTATATATATTTGGTACGTTTGTGCTATTCTAATATAATAAAAGTCTTACCACTCCTGGCTGAGTGTCTGTATGTCCGTAACACTCTGGGCCAACTGAACATGCATGGCCAGGAGCCTTACTGACAGATAGACAGACAGGCAGAGGTGGTGGGGGCCAGGGTGTGCTCTGCTGCATGGCGGGGAGGGGAGGCCAGGAGATGGGGGCATGGCTTGCGGCCCTATGAGGGGATGTGGCGTGGGGCTGTGTGGGGGCGTGGCACGTAGTGTGGAGGGGCAGAGCACATGGATGCAGGGTACTGTGCAGGTAGTGGGCACGGGGTGCGCAGGCAGAGCCTGCAGGCTGCAGCACATGGCTGCAAGGCAGGGCACACCCCATACACCCGCTCCCTGTGTGGCCATGCACTATGCACCCACACCCCATGCTATTCCCCACCCCGTGTGGCCACCAGCAATGCCCCCCAGATGTGGGGAGCATGTGCTGGCTGTGGCCACAAGCCACACAAGGCAGCAGGGGGGTGGGGAGGGTGCTGCGCAGGCATGTGGGGGACCGGCATTGGGGTACATGGGCAGCTCCTGCCAGCTGCAGCATGTAGCAACAGGCCAGGGCACACCCCATGTGCCCGCTCTGTGCACGGCACCCTACAGTCACACGCCATGCCCTCCTGTGTGCTATGCTACCCCCCACACAGCCACAGGCCATGCCTCCCAGGTGCAGGGAATGCCTGCTGGCTGTGGCTGTAGGCGCCGGGGGGGGGGAAGGTGCTGCGCAGGCACCTGAGTGCAGGGGTAGCCGGCATGCAGGCACACGGGCAGCGCCCACTGGCTGCACCACGTGGCCATGGTGCGAGGCATGCCCCCATGCCCATTAACCACGTGGCACTCAGCTGCTGCGCTCCCACCCCCCATGGGGAGCAACTGCCAGCTGCAGTGTGTGGGGCACACTAGGCAGGGTGGGGCATGGCATACAGGTACGCAGTGCTGTGCGTGGAGCTGGCACGGGAGCACCTGCTGGCTGAAGCACGCGGCTGCAGCACGCACACCATGCCCCCCCCCCCCCCCGTGCCGCAAGCCATGCCCCTCCCCCTGCCAAGTGCGCTGGCTGGCA